TATCTAAAATATCTGGTTTTAAATTAATACAATTAACATTCATTCTGACTTAATTCATCCAACTAGATCCACTACAGTTTGGCAGTGATTAAAATCACTAATACTTTTGCAGTGTATTTGGTGGCCTTTATGAAGCATGTTGCTGATTTCTCTTGAGCCCTTGGAGAACAGGTTTGTGCTTATCTGCTTTGCCTCATCCCTTTGGTAACAAGACCACCGAATTTTGGATGGGCTTTGAGACAAAGCTCAGCTAATAATTTATTTACCCAGATTTTCACAGAGAGGGATAAGCTAACCCTGCTCATGTTTCAACATCAGCAGATGAAAATCTGCCGTGTATTGAAAGCTGAAAGAGGTGTGTTAAACTTGGAGCAGAACTTACAAGCTTGGGAGTGAAGAAGCTAAATGATGCAATTGAAAATGGGCTCATGTGTAGTTGGCGTAGAACACAGTCATATCAAACTTGTCTTTGCTTGCAAAAGACTTATCCTAATGAAAAATCAGGATGAAATATATCAGTGATTTAATGTTATGGAGCCTGTTTTCCCCTGTCTGAGCTGTAATTGTTGGACTGATGGACAGAAAACAGGCTGTCCTTGGTGGAGACAGCTGGGGAAGAGGGGAAGCATAGTGCTCTCAAGGTAGTGAAATCCACTGTTGGTTTCCCACATCTGATTGCAGTAGCTTTATTTAGAAAATCGAGCATGCTTCACATTTAAAAACAAAAGAAACCAACAGAATTTTTGCTTGATGGAATAAGCTTGGCATAATAGTATCAAGCTAGTGGAATGGACTATTTTTCTGAATCTATTGCTGCCTGGTTAGTTACTTTGTCTTTTATGTGTTGTATTAATTTAGTTATGTTTGAATTCATATGTTATAGCCTGAGGTAGCCTGTCTTTTCTGGCTTGCTCTGCCTTAAATTTAAAAACTGTGTTGCTTTATCCTCAAAAATGTGAATAAAGGGTTGGATTTTAACTTGCATGGCTTCAAGAGCTGAATTAAGCTGTCATTATGAAACTTCATCCATGCAGTCATATCTGTACAGTGGAAAGATGAGCAGGAATAGAGGAAAGTATTGTAAATAAAACATTGTGGGCAGAGCCATTTGTTTTATAATTCCTCATTGCTCAGATGTTTTTAAAAAGATTTCTTTGCAATCCTAGGTATCCAAATAATATTAACACATCTCTCATATCCACAGTAGTGAGACTTACATTGCACAAAGCAATGCAATATATTGAATTTAAGATGCCTTCTAGACCCTCATCTCTGCTTTCAGCTTTCTAATTTGTCTTCATGGAGACCTCTTCCAGCACTTTCAACAGCTGGTTTTGCTGTACAAAAAACCAAACAAAATCTCCTTTATAATGAAATGTGTACTGCTTTTTCTGTCCTGAGCTATAGAATTGCAGAACAGTAGTAACTCATGGGTTAGAGATGGATTTAAATTTCCTTTTTATGCAGCTACTGTAATGTAATTATGGGAGTAGAAGTATTTGTTTCTGTATTTGGGATGCAGACAATAGCGAGTGTAGTATGAGGGAAGGATCACTCATTTTTAAGTTCCTGAGGAGTATGGAATCTAAGTTTTATAGGCTGACTGAGGTAGAATTTGAATGGAAAATGGAACAGCGATCTTCACCTCCCTCAGCTGGTTCTCTAAGGAACCACCTTATTACAAATACAAGCAAGACCAGAAAAGGCCAAAGTTATTAATATCTAAACTGATGTGCATAATCCAGTCAGACTCTGATAATGTACAGGATATAATACAAATTAGGAAAATAGATGAAGTGTAAAAATACTTCAGTTTTTATTTATGTATGTCAATAATTGATTTTTCAGCATTTATGGTATATGAAAACAAGCAGTTGAGTGGTTACTTTTGCAGAGTGCAAAATTCATTGTACAAGGCAAAGATGGTTTCGAATATAGATTTTTAAAATATAAATTATTTCTTTAACACCACCTACATCTAACCTCTGTTATGTGTGTTTTGTGGAATTCTTATATTTTTTCATTAAAATTCTGCTTCTGGCTCTTATGTCTGCTCTGTTTGGTTTTAATATCATAGTTATAGAGTAGAGTTCTCTTAAAAACAAACAAACAAAAAGTTTTATTATACTTTTGAAGTCCTGTACTTCTCTGAGTATGGTTTAACAGGTGACTTTTCTAACAAGGTTCAGCAAATGATCTCTTACAGAAGTATTAACTTTTATCAAGGCCTCCCACATGCTGCACTCACAAATCCGTGTTCATTGTGAGCATGAGACCCAAACTGGTCTGTCACTTGTTAGAAGATTATTTATTCAGCGAGTTTTGAGTTCTAAGTAAGGTGTGCATATCTGGTGACACACTTTGTCTCATTATGTGGTAGCAGCAGTAGCAAGTAATAAAGGCTTTCTAATGGCAACCACTGCAGTTAGACTTTTTATGTTTTATTGCAGGTTTTTTTATCTACCTTGAGACAAATTAACAGCCCTTTAAAATGTTCATGAAATCTACGAAAAGTGAACCAAAAAAAAAAAAGTTGGTAAAAGAAGTGAGAAGCTTTTATCTTGTCTTATGTTGCTGAGTGCTATATAGACACAATTAGACTATACTTTTTGTTGCAGTGTAGCTCATTAATTCTTTTGGTTGCTTTTGCTGTCTTAAAAAAATACTTTTTTTCAAAATGACACCGAACAACACTGAAGGGCTGATGAACTCAGTAATAAGAGGATGAACATTTATCTCAGCTTACTGGGCCCAGTTCAGGACTGAGTGGGGTGAAAACAGGTCATGTGGCTTCCCCAGGAGTGGAGCTCTGCTTTGATTGGAAAGTATTTGGGGAATGTGTGTTCAGTGTGCGATGAAAAGTCCAAGCACAAAAGAGTGTGGCTTTTGAATAATAAGGGCGTTACAGAATTCTTAGAAATATAAAAGTTTTGTCAGTTATTTAAAGAAAAAAATGTCCTGGTGCTGTTCTCTAATGAGAGACTAGAAAAAGTAATTTTCTGGAAGAATTCTCTTGGTTTTTAATCAGTGGCTTCTATTTCTTAATGTTTATTCTTATTGATTAAGCTTATAAAATGGGTTGGATGAGAAAGACAGTATTAGGCCAGACTGGATGAGACTTTGAGCAACCTGGTTCAGTGGGAGTGTCCCTTCGCATGGCAGGGGGTTTGGAACTAAATGGTTTTTAAGGTCCCTTCCAGCCC